TGTTTCAAAGGGGAATGGGTGTAACCCCCCCCCCCCCCGATCACAACACGCAGACCACCCTATGTTATGGGCAGGGAATTATCATATAATACCTAGGCTCTCTTCTAGATTGTAATTGTTTGGTGGCCCTTGTTCATCACCCCATACCCTCCACCCCAAACAAGGTGCTTCTCTACTAAAGTCAGCTGGAACCACCTAGACCACCACTACGATTTCTTCACCCAGCCAGAAGACATGGTAAAGGTCAGTAGTTTCTTGACAAATGTCTCATTGGACTCTTAGTCAGCATCCATGTTATACTAAAGAGCAGCCCAGGAAGATTGGGGACGGGAACCACAGACCATTCCTGAACTTGAAAGGACAAGCTTTTCAACATTGGGGCTCCTGTAGATTTAATAGTTGTGGAGTAGGCAAAATTTCAACAGGCATAGTTTGCCACAGGCGAGTGATACAAAGGCAGCAAAAGCTTCACCTGAAACTCCCATCTCCAGAATCATAAAAGGCACAGAAGACTTGATGCTGAAAAGTAGACACATCATCCCAAACATCCCAAGAACTGTGAAGAGTAGGGCAAATGTAACTTGTGAATTCTCATATGTGTGTCCCAGCAAATCTCATCTCTGATTTATTTATCTGAGGTGGTTTTTTGTCCCACCATTCCTCCAAGGACCTGAAGATCCAGTGAAGTGTAGGGGTTACAGTCCTGGACTAGGATCCAGGAGACTCAGATGCAAACCCCCACTTGCCGGGTGACCTCATGCCAAGATATTTCTCAGTCCAAGCTATGTCACAGGGTTATTGCGAGTGTAAGTGGAGGAGAGGAAAATTTAGTACACCACCCTGAGCCCCCTGTAAGAACAGATACAGATGCATTTAATAAATAAAATACTTAATAAGGGGGCCTATATATTGCCCTTCCCCCTCTTTCTTTCTCACAACATCACTGTGAATCAGGTTAAACTAAGAAAGAAAGACAGGCCCAACATCATCAAAAGGCTCAAGTACTTGTAAAAGGTAAAGGTTCCCTTGCTCGAAAGCCAGTCGAATCCGACTCTAGGGTTGTGGTGCTCATCTCCGTTTCAAAGCCGAAGAGCCAGCGCTGTCCGAAGACTTTTCCGTGGTCATGTGGCCGGCATGACTGAACCCCAAGGCACACGGAACGCTGTTACCTTCCCACCGAAGCGGTACCTATTTATCTACTTGCAATTTCTTGCTTTCGAACTGCTAGGTTGGCAGGAGTTGGAACTAGAGACAGGAGCTCACTCCGTCATGCAGCACCCGGGTCTCGAACTGCTGAACTACTGACCTTCCACAGCCTGCAGTTCAGCGTCTTAACCACTTGAGCCACCGCAGCTCCTCAAGTACTTGTACAGCCTCACAATTCCTCCTGCATTCAACTGTCCTTGGAGACACAGCAGGCTGAGCAAGAGGTGGCCAGGAGTCAGAGGTGCCTCAACAGGAGTGGCTGCCCGAGTCCACTGTCCCTGCCTGCCTACTCCCGTCTCTTCCCTCTCGGCAACGGATACTGCAGAGAGGAAAATGTGGAAGCAGCAACCAGTGCAGTGGCCAAGTTTCACTGAGGTGACGAAAAACAAGGCAGATTGTGAAGAGCCGCAGGGGGATCTCTAAACCGGGTGAGTGGGCAACAACATGGCACACAAAGTTCAAAGGGGATGAGCGTAAGGTGATGCACCCTAGAACAAAAATCCTAACACTTTAAATATAGGCTGACGGCGCTTGAACTGGCTGAGAGCAAAATTAAAAAGAGATCTTGGGGTTGTAGTGAAAAGCATGGTAAAAGCGTTGACCCAATGGGTGGCAGCAGTGAAGAAGGCAACCTCCATGCTGGGAATGATTAGGAAAAGGACTGAAAGTAAAATTGACAATGTTGTAATGCTTTTGTATAGAGCTACTGTGTGGCCTCACCTGGAGTACTTTGTGCAATTCACGTCATTGTATCTCAGAAAGGATATCACAAAGCTGGAAAAAGTACTGAGGAAGGGCAACCAAGATGTGTCAGAGCACCTTACCTATAAGGAAAGGCTAGAGAGTCTGGGACTTTTCAGTTTAGAAAAGATAGGACGAAGGGGGAACATGATAGAGAGCTTTATAAAATTACACACATGGGGTAGACAGAGAGAACTTTTTCTCCCTCTCCCAGGATATTAGAACTTGGGGACATTCAATAAAGTTGATAGACAGTAGATTCACAAGGGACAAAAGGAGCTACTTCTTTATTCAATGAGTGTTTAAAATGTGGAATTTCCTGCCAAATGTTGTAATGATGGCCACAGCCAAAAATGGCTTCTAAAGGGGGATTAGACTGATTCATGGAAGATAGGTCCATCAGTGGCTACTAGCCATGAATCTCAAAATGTAGAGACAATAAACCTTGGAATTACAGTGCAAGGAAGCAGTATCAGAGGAAGGCTGTGGTCTCAATGACCTTTCCTTGGCCCTCCAGAGCAATTGGTTGGCCAGTGTGTAAAACAGGATGTTGGTCTGTATGGACCCCTGTTCTGATCCAGCAGGGCTCTTATGTTTCTATAAGCGAATGTGTTATTCTGTCTCCTCTAATACTGGTAACCTTAGATGGGAGGAGGACCTGAACACAGCCCTCCAGGGTCATTAGGCTACAGGTCTTCCCCACTCTGGTGACCCTCTGGACAGATTCCATCTCAGGTGAAAAGTCCTGTGTTTGCATACTTCATTTTGTCACTGAGAGACAGTCACAACTCCTGCCCACAGTCACCATTCCCTTCCCTTACCTTATACGGTACTTCCCCAAGCCTCACTACTCGAGCTTGCTTCAGCCATGTGTCCTTGGAGTGCAGTGCGTGGACACAGTCTCTGAAAAAAACCCAAATGAAACAGCATCCTTTCTCAATGCAAATGTGCACAGTGACTCTGGTTATTATGCATCATGAACACTGCAGTTTAAAAAGAGAGAATCAGAACGGTGCTAATGCAACCCAGATTCTGCAACAAGAAAAGCGAAAGTTCTGCTGTCACTACAAATTGACTACACTTGCAAATGGTTATAATTTTGCATTATTTATTCTGCTTCTCATGCAGAAAGCCAATGAGAGATGTACATTCATGCCGCCCCCACAAGCAGTCAATTCTTTTGAAATTTCACCAGGCATTGTCCAACATGTTCAAAGGTGTTCTTCACAGCCATAAGGGCTAGAAATCCTTTTTTTAAAAATGGAAGCTGGGATGCCCAAGCTGCTGGATTCTGTACTCCATAACAAATGCAGCATTCCCACAGCCTTTACACAGAAAGCACAGGTTCTATACCCAGGGAAGCCACATTTCATGGCATATACACCTGAGGGATGTCTCACCTGGAGTACACAGCCTCCCCTCGGCAGTATCCAAGCACAGCAGCTGATTCAGGATAGATGGCTTCATATTTAAGGAGATGCCTCTCTAAGGCATAAAGTGGGTGATTCTTGTATTCACCAATGGCTGTTGGGAGGGGCTGGTCTTGAAGCTGAGCTAGAAACTGAGGGAACCATACTGTCAGTGGCACACTTCAGAGTTCATATGACACAAATATATTCATTCTTCAGTTGTTGGAAGGCTAAGGTCAGCAGGCACCTGCACATTTGATCATGTGATGACCTGCAGGTGTGGATGAGCCATCACAGCTTAACACCACAAATGGATTTTTCATATCACCCGACACATTCACACATTCAGCTGAGAGTCATCAAAGGCTGAATAAAACAAGCAACGAGATTTCAACAGTATATACCCTTGCATGAACCAGATCTCAGACAGTCTGTATACAAGGAAAGAGTTTAAAAAAGCCAACTATTCCTGACATACGGTGTAATACGAACAGGGCGCATCCCTGAAAGCAATTTTCACTATTAAGGTTCAACCAGCTATGTGGCTTTTGCCAGGCATTTATTCTAGATCTCTTACTCCTAATCTACAGGGATATGTAGCAGCCCTAATAGTTCAGATTAGCCTGAACTTGTCAGAGCTCAGAAGCTAAGCAGCAGCAACAGTACTTGAATGACAGACCACCAATGAAGACCGGGGCTGCTATGCAGAGGAAGGCAACAGCAGAATACCTCCGCTCATCTCTTGCTTTGAAAACCCCAGGAGGTGGAACTTTAAGGGGTTGCCATGAGTCAGTTGCGACTTCTCAGCACACATGAATTACAGGGATATACGGCTCACAGAATCACAAGCATGCCACAGTGCCACACAGAAACCCCAAAAAACCAACATGGGGGGGGGGGGGAGGCCAGTTTCAGCCAATTGCTGCATGCATGTGCAGCCTGCAAGGTTGGTGGTGTTGCTTTGCGCACCACCTTCCTTGCTTGGGAGGGGGGAGAGAGAGAGTCAACTCTACCTCACTCTACCCTGTCCTGACCTGCTACATCCCTGGACTTCTGGTTGCACCATCAATTTACACAGGGCAGGGCCTGTATAAATGTTGTTCCTGTTGGTCTTTTGGGGTTTCTGTGTGGCACTGTGGCATACTTACACTGCCACAGTGCCACTTGTTCTGGAGTGTGCCACTTGTTCTCATGGCAAACAAGCACCTCCCAAGACAGTTCACTTTCCCTGAGATTCTCTGGGTGCTGCCTGTTTGCCTGCCTTAAGTGCTGCTGGCTGGGTTTCCCCATTGGAAACAATGGAGGTAATGGGGGTAACCTATTTGGGTGCCCATAGAATCCACCCCCCCCCCCCCCCCCAGCCACTAACAGCACCTCCATTTTCTCTATGGTGGGGGGAAAAGTTACTTTTCCCCCCACCATAGAGAAAATGGAGGGGATGGGGGCAACCTGTTTGGGGGCCTGTAGAATTGGACCCCCTGGTACAATGTTCTTAAAACTTGGTGGGTATCTTGGGGAGACGCTCCAGCAGCTACCCTGTGAGTTTGGAGCCTCTCCCTCAAACCCCCTCCCCTCCAGCCCCCAGAATATACCCTATGTTTTTGCCATTGACTTCAATGGCCCATAGGATATAATGGGGCTGAAATTGACATTCGGCTGGGGGAAAGACTCCCCATTCTGCTCAGTACTGATGAAACTGACATGCGGGAATCTTACTGCCAGCCAAAATTGATTCTGCCAGATTCCGCCGAATCTGAATCGGCCGAATTTTATTTATTTATTTATTTATTTTGCACACCCCTAGTTATGACTTACTTGCTTAGTCACTATTGGAAATAGGAGAGCAAAAAAGATTCTTGGTCTGATTCAGCAGAGGCCTTCTTATCAGTTCCTACCAAAAGAATACAGTCCCTGCCAGGCCAGGTCACTTTCATCACTAGAATACCATAAGAACAAGCTCTATAGCGGCTTTTTGCTGAAAATTAAAGTTTCACTGGACAGTGAGTTGCCCAACTATCCCTTTCCCTCCAAGCAACTCCAGCATAAATGTTCATTAATCAATTCTGCTTACAGTTTGTAGCACAATGGAATCTAAATAGGAACTACTAATTTATTAGGAATGCTTAACACGGCATTTGCTGCCTCTGTGCCAAGCTTGTAGATTGAAGAGTCTGCTACCCCTTAGTCCCTCCCCAAAGCCATTTCATGAAACCCATTCTACTAAAATCCAGAGTGCACTTCAGACCTCTAACTTCCAATCTTCCCATTCTCACACCCTACCCTCCCTTATTTTCTTTTCTAGAATATTTAAATATTAACAGGACAGGGGAGCACCAAGCCCATTTGGAACCCATTCTGGCCATGCAGAACAAAAAACTTACCAGTTCCATAGTACTTACCTCCTTTTCTTCTTTTTTCTCCCTTTCCACAAATGGGCTTCGGTATGGTTCCAAAGTGTCATTCCACCACTGGGCATCCACACGGCTTTTCCTTGTTGAAGTCATCCATGCCGGATCATATCTTTGTGTTATGTCCTTTACACACCCATCATTGTCAAAGCCCATGATGTAGTACACTGGTTTGGTAGCATACTTGAAGCACAGTGAAGGCTGACCAACTGTGCCATGAACACAGTTCACATCCACCCACTTGCCTTCTCGTTCAGCAAAAACCTCCACCCACTGATCCATGCCTCTCCGAATAACTGGCTCTTGAATTCCTTCTTCATCATCACTACTAGAAATTATTTTATTGCCTTTCTTTGGGTTTGAAGAACTTGAGGGAGACGTTTTCCTCAACAAATGCTCAGCGTTGTCTGAATTCTTGGGTTCTTTCAACATTGGAGGTGCAGATTTTCGTCTATTGGTAACTGCTGTTCTTGCTTTAGGTGTTCCCAGTGAGGGCCTATGCTTCCTATTAGGAGTTTCAAAATCATCATCAGAGACGCTACTATCATCTCGATCATGTTCTGAAGCACGGAATTCAGAATCACTGCCCTCATCACTTCCACTCTCCTCTTTGTAAGACACTTTTGAGGCCACTCTTCGTTGGCGGTCATTTTTGGGCTTCCCCAACCCTTCCCGTCCCTTCAAGTTGTTTTCACCATCACCAGATTCCTTTTCTTTCTGAGCACCTCTCAGTACCCTAGATTTACTTGTTTTCCTTTTGGCTTCAGGGGAATTTGGTTTCCTGTCAACTTCTACATTCTTTGATGCAATCTCCTCTTGGCCTGCTCTTTGTTTGCTCTTTAGTCCTGGGCATTTTTTTGGTGCAACTCTAGGCTTTTTGGCAGAACTATCCGATTCCTCAGAGACTAAATTGACAGAACGCTTCTTGGTTGGGGGCTTTCCCTGAAATAAAGGAGTTTTCCGTTGATTGTGAGAAGATGAAGGAAATTTAAGCCCATTAGGATCTTCTGTACAAGCCAAAAGCTTCAAAGAGAACTACTAGGTCAACAACACTATGCTCAGTATCTATTCTATACATTCATTGTTTGGCTCTGTTCAGAATCACACAAAGCCACAGTCTGACTAAACTAATTATGGTTAGCGCGACTGTAGAATTGTATCTACTCAGACAAACAAATACATTAGGGTCCACTGAACCAGGAGCTTGGATCCACCAAACATTTCTGATGAAAGGGATTTCCATCAGAGAAGCACAGCTTTCTTGCCTGCCTCCTCACACTGTAGCCTGAAATACTACTCCTGGGAGACACAGGGCTTCCCAGGAACAGCATAAGGGAGGAGTCAGAGGTCTGTAGCAGGAGAAGGGAATGAGTGAGAATCACTCCTCCCTTCTGTTGGTGGAAAACCTTTCATGGATCTGAGCCAGGATTTGAATCTGACTTGAAGAAACTAATACAGGCAAACAAAAATAATTCTTTCTTTTCAAAAAATCTGAACATATGCCTGCCCACTGCGATCTCACTACCCAGTGCTTTAATGTTCTGTTCTTACCTTCCCTGCTGGCTCTTTCAGAGGAATGGGTTGTAAAGACAAGACAAGCCGGCACAGCAGCTGCAATGACCGCAGAATGAGTAAGAATATCTATTTAAAATACAAACATAAATAATCTGTTTGGAATCTGAGTTTAGGTACGTAGTGATGGCCTCCCACTACATACATAAGTGCATTTTCCTACTTCCCCAATGACCTCAGAAATGTTATTTCCGGACCAAATGGAATGAAAAGTAATTAAAATAGCACTTTCCCCACAGCAGATGTGCTGTAGGTCAGGCTCTGATCTCCTTTGCCCATAAGTTTCTGTGGTTGCTTCCACTGGCATGGCTGCTCCAGCTCTGTTCAGATGCCATGCAAAGGCTCCTGCCCCAAAGTTTTTTCTAGCAGCCAGTTTTTGCACATCTGAGGTGTCACTCTGCAGATGGCTAAGATCTATAGCTGCCTCTAGACGTGCATTCTTTGTGGTGGCCCCCACTTTGTGACTGCCTAAGGAAGTCAGGAAGGACCCACACTTTTATCACTCTACAAACGACGCAGAACAGAATTGTTCAGGAAGGAATTTTTGTAAGCAGAGCTCATATATAATGCCCAGGCTAGCCCGATCTCATCAGATCTATGACACTAAGCAGGGTTGGCTCTGTTTCGTATGTGGATGGGAGACACCAAGGAATACCAGGGTCACTACGCAGAGGCAGATAATGGCAAATAACTTCTGGACGTCTCTTGCCTTGAAAACCCTACAGGGGTCACCATAAGTCAGCTACGACTTGACAGCACTTTCCTCCAACACCACCACCCCGGTATAATGGAATGGTTCAGGAAGCTGCTTTTAGAAAAAGAACAGGCCTGTAGCCTAGTCCACTGTGTACGGCATGTATTTGTTGTATGTGTTATCCTGTTCTTATGGCTTTGTTTTCTCGTTTGTAATTCTATTTTCTGCACTGCTTGATGATCATGTCTGATGGGACTGGGACTGCAAAATTATAAAGTTACTTTTTTGCACCACTGTATTGCTTATGAGATCTCTCATATTATCTGACTGCATTGTCTTACACCGCATAAACTGCCTTGAGTCTCGGGAGAAAAAAATGAATCTTGTAATGGCCCCTGGAGTTAGTGGAAATCAGTGTGACTTGCAATGGTATGCTAAAGAGATGATTGGAGGTGCCACATGGGTAGAAAACCTTACACAGACGCAAAGCACGTGGTCACCGCACCTCAAAAAAGATATTATAGCATTGGGAAAAGTGCAGAAGAGGCCATTAAAACTATTAAGGGGATGGAAAACCTTTCCTATGAAGAAAGGTTAAAGAGGTTAGGGCTCTTTAGCTAGGAGAAACGATGACTGAGGGGTGACATGATCGATGTTTACAAAATTATGCATGGGATAGAGAAGGTAGAGAATACTTTTTTCCCTTTCACACAGCACAAGAACTTGTGGGCACTCAATGAAATTAATGAGCAGTAGGTTTAGAACAGATAAGTACTTCTTCACCCAAAGAGTGATTAACACAGGGAATTCACTGCCACAGGAAGTGGTGGCAGTTACAAGCATAGACAGCTTCAAGAGGGGACTGGATAAACATATGGAGCAGAGGTCCATCAGTGGCTATTAGCCACAAGGTATAGATGGAACACTATGTCTGGGGCAGTGATGCTCTGTATTTTTGGTGCTTGGGGGGCAACAGTGGGAGGGCTTCTGGCCCCGCTGATGGACCTCCTGATGACACCTGGTTTTTGGCCACTGTGTGAATGTTGGACAGGATGGTCCACTGGCCTGATCCAACATGGCTTCTCACATTGAGGTGGCAGCAAGCATTCACTTGGGTGTTCATGTAAAAGCTATCTTGTCTCCTATTCCAAAAGAACTGCATTCTCAACTGCTCTAGTTCCTTAAAAGCCTTGTCACTTACATGCACCAACTCTTCATCATCTCGCGCAGCATAGACAGCAAACCGCCGCTCCAAGGTGGACTGCCAACTTTCTTCATTATCGGAGAGCTCACTGTTGACAGTAAAGGTTGCAACAAACCTTGAAGAACAAAAACATGTCTTATTTTTTTTCCTACTCTTGTTGCTAGCTTCTTCATATTGCATCCCCATCTTTTCAGGGGACTTCTCCCATTCTTACAATTAAAGTTTTAAAAAAGGATAGACAGCTTACACTTAGATGGCTATGCACATGGAAAGAAATATTTTTTCCTTTGTTGCACTAAAAGACAGAACCTTTATAAAAAAAAGAGAGAGATGGTCACGGAGAGAGAATCTTACCATTTCACAAGGTTTGACAGATACAAGCGGTCTACACGATCCGTAGGCACTTTCGTGAAGTGGGCTGGGATTATGGAAAGACCGATCGCTTGGAGATCTGGCTGACTGCAGATTCTGTTCCGATAGAAACCATTTGCCAACAAGCACAGTAAGTGAACCTGTTGGGAAAAGGAAAGAGGCCCCCAAAAGAGAAAGCAGCAGATTTTTAGGTTAATGATGCTGCTCTGAGTGTGAAAATCAAAAAGGGCAGTCCCAACTTTGACCAGATTCGTTCTAGGAACCCAACACAGCTATCTCAACCCCTCCCCTCCCCTCCCACCACCTACATTTGACAAGCTGGGCCCGTCTCAGTGTATTTTCATGAGACCGGAATAGTTACTGCTAAGAGCAAGATGAGACCTATACTGTAATCACCCTGAGTCTGTGGAACGATTTTTGTGTTGAAATTACACGTTTCCTCCGCTATTTTTCCTTGTAAATGTACTAGCAGGCAATCGTTCCTTGTATTTGGATCCTTTTTGGTTTACCAGTTAAAGTAATAGTTTTAATTGCTGTTTTAGTCATGATTTTGTAATGCCATTCAGAGCAAAGAAACAGCGACATGTAAACGTTGTAAATAAATAAGCATGTTTATACCTTCAGGATGAAATCTTTACGAACATTTAAACAGAAATGTATGAGAAAGAAGAAACTGGTCTAATGAGTGACATTATGTGCTATTATAATTTTTTAAAAATTCTAACCTCCACACTAAAAAAAGAAAAAAAAAGAATATGTTCTGGATGACTTGAGTAAATGTTTCGTTCTCTTCCTAGTAACAACAGACTGAACTGCCACCTGAAATATTAATTATGTTCAAACGGCAATAAAAAATTATTTATTTTGAGATTTTTATTTCGCCCTCCTCAAAGCAGGCTCAGGGCAGATCACAGGAAACTGAGTCCAAGACTCGTTACAATAAAATCACATTAAAATAATTAAAACAATAAACAATTAAATTCACACAGGTAGCAGGTCTCTCAAGGGACAGAATAAGGTAGCAGAAACAGAATCCCATACTTGTCCTCTATAATTTCCTCAACTACACTCCTATTACATTAGATGCCAGCATGGTATAGGGGTTAGAGTGTGGGACTAGGAACTGAGACACACAGGTTCGAATCCCCACTCTGCCATGGAAACTCTCTGGGTGAAACACACTCTCAGTCGACCTACCTCACAAAGTTGTTGTTATAAGAATAAACTGGAGATGGGGAGAAGGTTGTTGTAAGCCTCCTAGGGTCCCCATTGTGAGTAACCGCTGGGTATAAATATATAAATAAATCAAGAAAGTCTTACCTTGTGCATATCTTCATGAACTTCTTTGTTGAAGCGTTTCATCATTCTTCGGAGATAGGTCTCAAACTCAGCTTTTTTCTTCTCTCTGTAGGATGCCACATCCAGAACAGTCAAATCAGAACTCATGCCCCGGAAGACACAAGAACAGATTCTTCACATTATAATCTGCATACAGCTTGGTACAGCGCTCCGCAGCTGTAATCAGACATTGCTTCAAACCAAGATTAAGCACAAACCCAACTTGTTCCTGTTCATCATCATCATATGGCGTTGTGTGTGGTATAGCCAGGAGATCCTAAGATCTAAAGTACTAGCTGTTTTTAGTATGGTGAGCTAGACTTATTGGGGGGGGGGGTGAAAGTGCTCTGACTGATACAAGGTCACCTAGCTGGTTTCATGTGGAGGTGTGCAGAATCGAACTGGTTCTCCAGATTAGAGTCTGCTGCTCTGAATCACTACACCACACTAGCTCTCTTACATGCATGCCATGCTCCTTCCCTTCTTGTACAGAGTGCAGTGAAGGAACCCTACTTTAAAATTAACTCTAACTGCTCAAGATGATTTATAAGGGCAGGCATGGAGTTAAATATAATCCAGGCTTAGAATCCTGATTTATGAAGGGACAATTAACTTTGGTAAAACAGTGCGGCTCGCATCCTATGCATGGGTTCAGTACATGCTGCATAAATCTATGCTGCAGAGTGCGCTTCCTCTTCTGCTAAAACTTCTACTTGGCCAAGATCAATGGTTTTCAATGGGCCCTTGAGCAAGTAGAAATCTTAATGGAAGTGGAAATGCACTCTGCAGCACAGACTATCTAGCGTACACGGACCATTTGCACAATCCAAGCCAAACCCTACACTCACATTGCACAGTCCAAGCCAAACCCTACGTTCACCAGGACATCTTCATCACCTTTGTGCGAGAACGTAGGGTAGATGGAGGAAGGTACACGGAAGCCAGCAGCAAGATGGACTTGTGTACACTGAGGCTCGATGTGACAGTGAATTGCAGCCACCATGTACAATTGGTAGTTGTGCAAATGCGGGCCTTCTTTGGATTTTCTGACCCACATGGGAGAAAAGGGAAAGCTAGCCACAGGTGTCTGAATGCAGAGCTCCCCAACCTCAGCTTACCTTCGCTCTCTTTTCTTTGCTTGTTCTGGTGTCTCAATCTCTATCTCAACCGTTTTGTTGGGCAGGGCTGGCATTGGAGAAATGTCTTTCAGGATCCCTATCTCAGGCTCACGAAGTTCTGGAAAGGGAAGAGTAAATCTAAACTGCCTGATGCCCAGTAAGAGGCCAAGTATTTCGGTTCTAACTCACAACTGATTCCCTATGTTATTGGGTGATTTTTTTTAAAAAAGGCATACTTTTCCAAGCCAGAGTCTTACGAAGAAATCACATCACGAAGGAGTTACGAATGCTTCAGCTTCGCAGAGAAGACACATATTCTCTCAACTGGTTTTAGGGACTTTACCAAACACAGATCTTGTCTGTTAAATGGGTGGGCATGCAGCTCTTTGTACCTGATGCTTACAAATATCTTAAGACAGGGGGCATACAAGGCAGGACCTAAAAATATAACATGAGATGAAGACCTCCAGTCCTGTGCAAACATGACCCAGCTGCCACGTGCTACCCACAAAGGATTCAAATGAACCAATTTTATCCATCTACCAACGCAGCTGAAGACACCTTCGCTGAATAAAGCCACCACTCACAGGCTTTGTGCTTCAGAATACAGGCAACTGTGTGATTAAAAGGGGGGGGGGGGAGAACCATACAGATTTCCAGCATAGAGGACAACTTCATCACAATATCTGTCTTCACTGGCTGGATTTTAAAGGCCAGCCAACTGACTAAACTAGTTTCATATTCCCAAGATCAAAACAACTCATTCTCTAACATACTGGCAAAAAGTAATCTATGCAGAACTCTTTGTCACATCTAGCAAAAACCTCTCACTCTCTCTCTCACACACACACAAACACACACACACACTCATGCTAAAACTACTGGAAATACTTAGGGACATGTTCTCCTTCCCATCAGACGACTCCATGAGGAACATAATATGACCCCTGACAACTCAATACAACATAGATTCGACCACATCAGATTTCAGAACTTCATTTCCATTCCTTTATCTAATAGTGCCGCCTTTTACCCTTTACCTTACTGGAGAAATAACTTTTCAACCCACTCCCCCCAAAAATTATTTATTTATTTATTTTATTTGGTTTATACCCTGCCCTCCCCGCCAAGAGGATATAACAACACTGTACATTTCATGGATGTTTCCAGTGGGAGCTGTGTTTAGTGTTGGCTGCTTGTTAAAACATGGGTTAAATATTATGTTTCTTTTTGGCCGCCACACACAAAACCACCCCCCCCCCCCGGAAATAGAGTAGATATAACACACCCTGGACCTTCCCACAACACCTGCCTGGAGAAAAAGCATGGTACCACCTCATACGCACACATCCAAAAAACCATCTCCAATGAAATCCTTTCCAGCAAAATGTTGGTGGCTGCTCCACATAAACCCAAAGGGCAGCCATAATGTATCATTCCATTCTAGAGTGACAGATGTATGCCATATGGTAATTCTTTGAAACAGCTGGCAACTAAAATATGTGCCAAACATTTGTAATGAATGAGAGCCAGTTTGGCATAATGGTTAGGAACGCGGACTCTAATCTGGGAGAACTGGGTTTGATTCCCCACTCCTCCACATGCAGCCAGCTGGGTGACCTTGGGTCAGTTACAATTTTTCCAGAGCTGTTCTCTCATGAGCAGTCCTTGAAAGAGCTCTCTCAGCCCCACCTACCTCACAGGGTGTCTGCTGTGGGAAGGGTCTGTTCACTCTAATTGTACTGCCATATATTAACATCTTCACTTTAATAATGACATCACAGCCTAGGACATCCAGCTAACAGAGTTGAACAACAGCTATGCAGAGCAATACAAGGCCTTTCTGGAAAGACAGGCTGCAAGAAGGCTGATATTTCAAGGAGGGACTATCCCCTTTTGCTACTAGGCAGTTCTCATATTTAAGTACTCTGCTTTCCTAGTGGAAAAGTCCAGCTATTATACACAACCAAGAAGGCTATGTTATTTTGTTTCACCTGATTTAAACTTATCCAAAGTTATTACCAAATGAACTCAAAACTCTACTCAGTTACCATAAAACCCAGGAGAATTCAGCACAAGAACAAGCCCAAAGAATGATGAATCTGGACATAGATGAATGTTTCACAACACCAAAAGAAAAGGACTACCTTCAACATCTTCCCACTCGTCTTCACTTTCCTCTTCCTCCTCATCCTCTCTCTTTTTGATGGCAGATTCTCTTTTTGTGACGGTCTCTTCCTGTAGAAGGCTGCTCTGCAAACCACTATAAAGGGTGCAAGAAGAAACATCTCGCTAACTAGGAGACCACATTTCAAAGAGTATCCGAAGCATACTTCTGTGTGCCAGACACTGCTGAAAGCCCCAACGGAAAAACCACAAACCCATACATGCACATTCTGTGTATAACGGAGGAGTGGGTTTTAAAAAACTGTTTAGTACACAATAGAAGTTGAAGCCTCAACCTAACAGGGGCTTCCTTACATTTTCATTAAGTTCTACAAAAAGAAGGTTCAGCAATAGAGAGTCATGTGCAAAACTGGGGTGTTCTGCCACCCTCTTCATGAAGAATAAAGAAATGAGAGCAACTTCTATCTGCTGTTTACAGCCCAACCATGAGCTAAAAGAAGTACCCTACTGGATCAGGTCAATGGTCCCTCTAGTCCAACATCCCATTTCACACATTGGCCAACCAATTGCTCCGGAGGGCCAAAAAGTCAGTTTATTTAGAGTACAGAGGCCAAGCCAATTAACACGCAATGCACCCACTTCAACGGAATGGTTATCTGAAAGCCATGTGAAAAGTAGGGATAAAAAATGGTCTGGTCTTGTACATCCCCTGCTAGTCAGGATGCTGTTGTCCTCAAAGTGTTGCATGAGCACATCTGTGCAGCTCAGAAGTTCCTCCCTACCTCAGCATAATGTTTATAAACAGGAAAAAGGGGACACGTCTAAGAGTAAATTAAGAGATGCAGTAGAGAAGGAGACTATTTATTTATTTATTTATTGGATTTCTACCCCACCCTCCCACCCCAAGCAGCCTCTGTGCTTTGCCAGCTCCTTCAATCATTTTTGTCCAACAGTCTACACACAAAGATTATGTGAGAAGGCACAGATTTTATGGTGGGATTCAGGAAATTAAAGAATAGCCCTCTGAAGTCAGCCAGATTGGTGTAGTGGTCAGAGTGTCAAGTCCAGGTTCAAATTTCCCCCTCAGCCACGGGAGCTCACTGAGTTACCTTGGGCCAATTACTAAATCTTTTGACTAATCTACATCATTAGTTTCTTGCCTTCCTTCAAAGGAACAGCAAGATTTAAAAAACCTATTAGGAAGATAAACAGAAAACTACAACCCACAAGGAGTTGCAGAGGCATTTCGTTTTCCCCTCAACCAGTATTTCCCTTTTCCCTTCCCTTTATTTACTTCATTTATACTCCACCTTTCTCCATGATGAGGACCTAAGCAGCTTACATCATTCTCCTCTCCTCCATTTTATCTTCACAACAACCCTGTGACATAGCTTAGGCTGAGCGTGTATGAGCTTCCACAGCAGAGAGGGTATTTGAACCTGGGTCTTTCAGATCCTAATCTGAAATTCTAAGCACTAAGAACATAAGAAGCCAATGCTGGATCAGGCCAATGACCCATCCAGTCCAACACTCTGTCACACAGTAGCCAAAAATACCAGGTGCCATCAAGAGGTCCACCAGTGGGGCCAGGACACTAGGAGCCCTCCCACTGTTACCCCCCCAAGCACCAAGAATACAGAGGGTCACTTGCCCCAGACTGAGAGTTCCTATCTATACCTTGTGGCTAATAGCCACTGATGGACCTCTGCTCCATATGTTTATCTAATTCCCACTACTCCACACGGTCTATCATGGGGTGGCTGCAAGTTGCCAAGTGGCTGCTGCCAGGCCTGGCCCTAATGAGCCCTCCCTCAAAGGGCAGAACATTCCTTGAAAGGCCTCTGCCTCTCCCCCTGCCTTTTACTAACAGAAACTAAGTTCTGAAGGCTGGCAAGACTGTTGTGGTTGCCTAGCAACAGCCACTATATTAATGGTGTTCCTTTCTTATAGCTACAAGTGCTGCTTCTAGCATGCTGGAGGCTTTTAACAAGTTTTTAAAAAAGATTTCAGATTTGTTCTGCAAACCTAGGGATTTTCTCCAGTTTGCAGAAAAATCTGTCTTGTCTGTTCATGGCCCCAGTCTCCAGATTTAAGTAACCACAGATGAGGCCATGTTGATAATTGGCTATACTGATAAATCCATTCACCTGCATTTTTCCTCTTTATCTTCTACATCTATATTATTCTCTGCTTTCACTTTTGACGTTGTTGTCTTCTTCCTTGAATTTCTGCAGGGTGGGTGATAGTCATTCCTCTCACAAGCTCTCTTCTTTTTTTCAGACAAAGACTTGGTCTTTGTTTTTTTCTGTTGAAAATCACCTGATGGAACCAGAAACAAAAATAAATATGATGTGTTTGGAAAAGCAATGCATGTTTAAATTATAATTGAATAACAACCCAGGTTATGAAAAGCCTTTCAAAACAAACCAGTAACAACTTCTTCTATGAACATTCAAATCAATATGTATTGTATTTATTAATAACTCCAAATTACACCAGTCATTACAGTATTTTTATTTCATTATAGATAGACCTATGCAAAAAGAATTAAATAACAAACAAAATACATTCCTTAGGACTCCAGAGGATTTGTTCCAAGACACAATGTATGCAACTCACTTCTATCCATACAAACTTCAGAGAAAGCCCCACACATCAGGGCTTATTTCTAGCTAAATATGCATAGGATCAGGACATACTTATCTACATATAAGAATTACAGCACTGCTGGATCTGACTAGTGGCCCTAGGGTTGCCAGCTCCAGGTTGGGAAATACCTGGAGATTTGGGGAGTGGGTGGGATTTGGGGAGGGACTTCAGTGGGGTATAATGCCATAGAGTCCACCTTCCAAAGCAGCCATTTCCCCCAAGTAAAGTGATCTCTGTTGCCTGGCAATCAACTGTAATCACAGGAGATCTCCAGCTACCACCTGGAGACTGGCAACCCTAGGCCCATCTAGTACAGAATACTGTATCACATTGTGGCTAAGCAGTTGCCCCAGAAGCTAACTAACAGTCCATAGAGGGCAAGACCTTCCGCTGATGTTGCCCTCTAGCACTGGTATTCAGGAGTTCGCTGCCTCTGACGATGGAAGTTTCCCTTAGTCACCATGGGGAATAGCCACTGATGGACCATGAAAGTCTATTTCCTTTTTAAAGGCATTGACACAAGCGGCCATCACTGCATTGCAATGAATTCCACCATTTAATGAGTACCAAAAATCTGTGTGAAACACAGTAACCAAGTAAGTTTGTTAATATCTGGTTTTATTACTTGAAGAAGCCCAGTAACAACAGTAGCCATTGTTAAGTGTTCATACTTTTTTGCTCGGTCAGAAAAACAACTACAAAGAAAGCAGTCCTAAAGATCTTTATCCCACTGTAAAGCAGGGCCCGAAACACTGAGATCCAGATAAGCCACACTTCATTGTGAAAACAGTGAGAAGAGTTCTTTAAATTTTTTAAAAGAGCACAAAGAAAACAAGAATTCATTAGTCCAGTCTGTGCAAGAGGTCTGGGCTCAGGGCTATTTTTGGGCAGGAACGCACAGGAACGGAGTTCCGGCTGGCTCCTGAGTTGGCCGCACCCAGCAGGAACTCATTAGCATAATAGGCCACACCCACACCTAACAACAGAAACTCATTAGGATTGGCTACATTAGGGGTGTGTGGCCTAACATGCAAAGGAGTTCCTGCTGCAAAAAAAGCCCTGGGTTTTGACAACAAACGAAGTAAACAGAATAAGAAGCAAAAGGTGAGTGTGGTAACATGGGGGTGTGGCCTAATGTGCTAATGAGCTGCAGTGTCAGGGGAGTGGTTTAATATGCTAATGAGTTTCTGCTGTTGGGTGTGGCCTATTATGCTAATGTGTTCCTGCTGGGCTTTTTCTACAAAAAAAGCCCTGCTGGGCATTATTGTAAAAAAAATTATTTACTTCATTTATACCCCATCTTTTCCTCCAATGGGTCAAACAGCTTACATCATTCTCCTTATCACAACCCTGTGAGGCAGGTCAGGCTGAGAATGTGTGACTGGTCCAAGGTCACCCAATCAAGCTTGGATGGGGATTCAAGCTTGAGTGGGGATTCAAACCTGGGTCTCCTAGAACCTAATCTGACACTCTGACCTCTACACTACACTGCCTTCTATGTCAACAATAAGAAAAATCACATGCCACAGAGGCAGAGAACCCATTCTCAAAGCTAAAAGCACTTGGTCCTTCTTCTTCAAGGATTAGCAGAGAAAAGCTTGCAGACAAGTGAAATTGAGTTATACAAGTAATAATTAATTATAATAATTATCATACGGCAGTGTGTGTCGTAAAGAGAGCCAAAGAGTGTGTGTAGTATAGAAAGCCATGAGAGCCAAAGATTTTCTGGCAGCCAGAAGTTCTAGCTCTTTTAGCGTTATGCACCACCAGGTGGTGAGCAAGACTGATTTTTAAGGCAACAGACATTTCAGAGGTGGTTTGCCACTGCCCACCTCTGCATCACAACCCTAGTATTCCTTGGAGGTCGCCCATGCAAACGTTAGCCAGGACCCTGCTTACCTTCTGAGATCTGACAAAATCCGGCTAGCCGGGGCTATCCAGGTCAGGGCATTGTACAAGTGAGGAGATAAGAACAAGGCATTATTTAAAAGGAGTCCAATTACTATCATAGACAGCTGTAATACCTTGGGGTGGGGGCACCTTCTTTTCAAGCAACCTTTCATTTCCTGCCTTACCCATTGCTGGGCAAGAGAAATTATCCCCTGACAAAGCAGTGATCCGCAAAATTAAATGTCCCCCAGGGTGAAGGTCCCAAAAGATCCTGTAATAGTGAAAACGCATCCTGGTTCCCCGTGGGAAGGCTGCAATCTCTCCCACTTATGCAACCACTTATGCAACCACCGGCAACAAGTCGTGAAACTATCCGCGAGGGTCTCTTTATTGCCCGCTCACCTTCTTGCTCCTGCTCGGGAGCTGCCGGAGGACCCGAGGCGGAGCCTGCAGCTGGCCCCCTGGCTTTCTTGAGCGGCCCCTCCGGCGGCAGGCCCCCTTGGCGCTTTCTGCCCATGCCGCTACCTGCCCCGAGGAGGCGTGGTGGCTGCAACACAAAGGAAGCCACGCGAAGGCGGAGAAAGGCGACCGGCTCCCCAGCCGGGGCGGGCTCGGGATCAGGAGAGGGCCGTGGCTAGACGCACGGCGGGAGGCTGGCTGCAAGCGGCCGGCCGCAGGTCGCTACCCCGCTACAGCCCAAAGGCCCCGCGGGATGCAAAGCAAGGGGGCCGGCCGGGCCCGCAGCAGGCTCCCTCGCGCTTCTCTCCTCGCTCCTCCTTCATGACGTCTCTTCCGTGCCGGGTCTGAGAGACACATGCAGCAGGCTGGAGCGAAGAGAGCGTCTTTTAGAAACAAGCGACAGCCTTGGGATAGCTTGAAAACTAACTCTCATAGACTGGCAAACAAATGCATAAATACATGCATACATATTCATACATACAGGGAGGCTAGAACCCGCGTGGATGCAAATCCACGCTCAACTCCTAGTCGCGAGGAACCTTCTTGTTTGTTTTTGCGGAAGCAGGCTAAATGAGCTATCTTAAGCATTACTCGAAAGTAAGTCCCACAGAGTTCAGTAAGTCCCTAGTAAGTTTGAGTCTAGTGGCACCTTTTAAGAGCAACAAAGTTCAGTTCTGGGTATAGGGTTTCGTGTGTACATGCACACTTCTTCAGATTCCCACCTGAATCTATCCCTAGTAAGTATGGTTAGGATGGCTGAGCTTTCTCCTGTTCAGCAGCCCTTTATTTCAGTTGACTGAATGATGCGCCTCGACACATTTCACAAGAGCTGGGAGCAGCAGATCGCCTTCATCTTCGCATTTATTGTAACATAATTTTTTGTGAGCTTTAACTCCTTCAGATGCAGCTTCATTCCCGACAACAAACTGACAGGTCTATTTAGCACCACATTGTTTAATTCTGGGTATGCACACGAAAGCTCATACCTTGAATTAAACTTTGTTGGTCTTAAAGATGCCACTGGACTCAAACTTTGTTCTGCTGCTTCAGACCAACACGGCTACCCCACCTGAATCTTAGACTTAGATTCTTAGTACCACATCGAAAATTGTTAAGAGCTGAAATAGGAATAAAGTCCCATTCTTTTATTAGAATTGTATTGTTGGTGGATCAGCATACACATTAAGGATGTTGGTGCACAGGTGACTGCATACACTAAACTACTCCCAGGGCTTGGTTGGTATATCACTAACCATCACATCATCTTCACCAGACGTACTAAAACGAAGGACAGCGATTGCCCATAGGGAATACATTCATTCATTCATTCATTCATTCATTCATTCATTCATTGGATTTATATCCCGCCCTCCCCAAAGGCTCAGGGTACCCATAGAAAATAATGGAGAGGAGGCTTGCCCAGAGAGGATGCAGTACATAATTGACAATAGAGAATCCATAATTGCCAATAGAAAATCCATGATTGCCAATAGGGAATAATGGAGTTTTGTTGTTCAGTCGCACAGTTGAGTCTGACTCTTCGCGACCCCATGGACCAGATCACGCCAGGCCTTCCTGTCTTCCGCCGTCCTCTGAAGTTTGCTCAACTTCATGTTCGTTTCATCTATGACACTGTCTAACCATCTCATCCTTTGCCGTCCCCGTCTTCTTTGACCTTCAATCTTTCCCAGCATCAGGGTCTTTTCCAGTGAGTGCTCCCTTCTCATTTGGTGGCCAAAGTATTTGAGCTTCAGTTTCATTATCTGGCCTTCCAGGGAACAGTCAGGGTTGATTTCTTTGAGGATTGACTGATTTGTTCTTCTTGCAGTCCAAGGGACTCTCAAGAGTCTTCTCCAGCACCATAGTTCAAAAGAATCTATTCTTCGGCGCTTGGCCTTCCTTATAGTCCAACTCTCGCAGCCATACATGACTACTGGGAATACCATTGCTTTGACCATGTGGACTTTTGTTGGCAGGGTGATGTCTCTACTTTTTATCATGCTGTTTAGGTTCGCCATCGCTTTCCTCCCAAGGAGCAGGCGTCTTTTAATTTCATGGCTGCAGTCACAGTCTGCGGTGATTTGGGATCCCAGGAACGTGAAGTCTGTCACTACTTCCACGACTTCCCCTTCTATTTGCCAAGGAGTGATGGGACCGGATGCCATGATCTTAGTTTTTTTGATGTTGAGTTTCAAGCCCACTTTTGCGCTCTCCTCTTTTACCCTGAGCAAGAGGCTCTTAAGGTCCTCTTTACTTTCTGCCATTAGAGTGGTATCGTCTGCATATCTGAGGTTGTTGATCTTTTCCCCAGCAATCTTAATTCCCACTTGTGATTCATCCAGGCCAGCATTTCGCACGATGTACTCTGCATATATATTAAGTAAGCAAGGCAACAATATACATCCTTGTCGTACTCTTTTTCCTATGCAAAACCAATGAGTTGTTCCATATCCGGTTCTAACTGTCGCTTCTTGACCCTTATATATTTATATAATGGAGTACATAATTGCCAATAGAGAATCCAAGATCATAACGAGAGGTCATTCTGGCTCTCCCAGCTCTCGTTAGGGAGTCTTTTAAAAGTTAGGAACTCTTTAAAAAGTTATGGCCGCCTCTGGCGATGCCGGCAGCTGCAACGGCCATGGGGGTGGGGTGAGAAACGTTCCCTTGCCTCCCTGAGCCCCGGGGCGGTGGCCTTGGACTCTTACGGACAAATTCCACCTCTCGCGTGTGATGTCCATTCTCTATTGGCATTCATGTATTGCCTATGGGCAATCGCTGTCCACTAATGCATTCCCTATGGACAATTGCTTGTCCTTAGTTTTAGTACGTCCCCATCTTCACATCACCTCGCCCAGCTTTCCACTAGAGTCACTTCACGCATTCTTCAAGGATACCTATGAACCCACCTTGGATGCTAAACAACTGAGTATGATATAAGTGACTTGACCGTAAGGCACTGATGGTCAGGTGAAACTTGACAGACAAGTTTGCATTTGATCCGGGAGATGCTTCGTCCACCCATGCAACAAATCACTCTTCTGTATATATGAACGCGCCCCGTGTGGATATAAGCCTGAAAGGATTTTTAGTTGCGAAACTACTAAACCGGCGCAACCAAACGACTATTTTTGTATCAGTAGGTAGATGCTCCACGGGCAACCAATCACAAGTTCCTCCTTGCAACCATAGTTACCGCTCGACTACATTGCCCATGGTGCCTCGCTGGATCGTCTTCTTATCCTCATCTGCGCACGCGCCATCGCCAGGGCATAAAGTCTCGCGAGGAAGAACTGGGGATGTGTTTGAAAAATGGCGGACGAAGTGGACCAGGTAAATAGGGCGGGGAAGTCGTTTGTGCAGTGGCGGTTTTACGGAGCTTTATGTTCATGGGTCTCTGAACGTGCAATTGCTTTATCTTTTCTGCTTGGGTTCAATATTAAGATTTTCGGAATGCTGCGACGGATGCTTTGGTTGAAGGGGGGGGGGAATAATCCTCTTTTAGCCCCCGTGTGCCTCTTTTTGTTGTTTAAGGTTTGGTGTCGTGATTAGAGCGCTGAATTAAGTTCTGGGTTCAAATACCCAACCGGCCGTAAAGTTTGGTGAGTAGCCTTGGGTCAGTCTCACGCTCTCAGCATACCCTGCTCTGCAAGGTTGTTGTGATGCTGTAATACGATGGGAAGGGTGATGTATGGTCTCCTACATAAGAACATAAGGGACACCAATGTTGGATCAGGCCAAAGGCCCATCCAGTCCAACACTCTGTCACACAGTGGCCAAAAATACCAGGTGCCATCAGGAGGTCCAGCAGTGGGGCCACTGAGTCGCTTAGAAAAACAATGGAATAAGAACAATGAAATATTTTGTTTTAGTAGTGTAACTTGCACTGGGGCTCTCTCTGATGAATGGTCATTAACTTACTGTTCTTGTATCCATGATTTTTCCCATGGCTGTCAGTTACGTATTTAAGTATTTATCTTCAACTTTTTCAATAAATATTTTTGGTAGCATAGAACTTAATTTTAAGGAATTGAGAGATTCCCCATTAGTGCATCTCTTTAGAAACTTGGATATACTTTCAACGTTTATTTTTATATTATTATTTATACCCGTCCCTTCCCCCAGTGGGTGACCAAAAGTGGCTTGCCTCCTTCTCTTTGCCTTCTCCTTGCTTCCGTCTTATCCTTATTCTCTTTGCCTTCTCCTTGCTTCCATCACAACAATCCTGTGAGATAGGGTAGGCTGTGAGTGTGGGACTGGCCCAGAGTCAACCAGTGAGTTTCATTTCAGAGTGTGGATTTGAAACTGGGTCTCCCAGATCCAGGTCTGACACTCTAACCACTGTATCAGGCTGTGTGTATGTTAAGTGCCGTCAAGTTACTTCCATCTTATGGTGACCCTGTGAATTACTGCTGAAGTGGATGGATTCCTTGACTATAATGCTTTTACTGCTAAGACAAGACAGGTTTTATCTTTGGTCCCTTGAGAGACCGTTTGTTTGTGTGAGAAAACATGGTTTTGGAGGCCTGTCTAGAGTGGCCCGATGGTACAAAATCTTCCATCTCTGGAGCAGACATTAAAAAACAAATTATCGGGTGTGAAGAAACCAAAGTAGCCAATCCTTTATCCATGTGGAACTCTCTCTGACTTAAATATTTTATTAATAGTGTGAGAAAAGTGGCAGCTTGGATCCACTCTAGGTTCAATGGTCTTCATTGTTTGGGCAATTCTGACAAATGGACTCAAGGTTAGAGAAGGTGGCAGGGACAAGTCTGTAATTTACATGCAGGTTGCTTATCAGTACAATCCCATGCAGACTTGTTCCAGGTCAAATCTTAGGCACAGTAACTTTGTGTGGGATTGCATTGTAAATTTACCAAACTCAATACAAGATCAAAGCCTAAGCTTTTAATGTTTCTGCAATTCACTGTGTCAGTTTTCATTATGAGGTAGAATAAAGGGTTAGCTTTTATTTCTTCCCACTACAATGTTTTTGAGATCAGTCGTTTCATCATAGTTGAATAACATACAA